AGCCCTTGCCTGTGCCCAGAAAATGAATACAGATTTGTGGTCACTTTCTCTCTAATCCTAGGATTTATGGTGGTTTCTGGTTGTGGGATCCCAGAACTACCCTCTCCTGCTGTGTGACTAATGTGAGGATAGAGTCCCAGAGTGGCTGGGAGCGACTCAGTCACTTCTCTTTCAGGAACCACAGGCACAGCAGGGAACACAGATTGCTCTTAACTGCTTCTGGTCTCCCCAGTTAGGATGGGGCCTCATGCATTGCTCTGTCCTTTATCTTTTCAGTGGCCAGAGGTTGTTCTTTGCATAGAGTCTGGGGTTCATTTATTGTGTCTTCTACAAATGTGCTTATAGGGGTACAATAAACTTGGAACACCAAATTGTCACTGTCATTTTAGAAGAAAGCAGCTCTTGGGCTTAATTCATCCAGGATAAATCACATCAATAATCCTCTTCAATTCCAGGCCCTAGCTGCCATATGGTGGCTTGAGATGCAGGAAACTAAGATCCAGAAAACTCATCTGAGTCACAGCTGACACTTCCTACTCTGTTTTTGTCTTTCTTCTGATTTCATTTTCCAGCTCAGGACCAAGTGCCTGATCTCTTCTAGTCCATTCCATGCTCCATCTCTGCAAGAAGGTATGTGTCTCCAGCCACAGCACAGGTCCAGATGCACCCCCCAGCACCTGTGTGTTTGTACCTATACAGCCTTACCACAGGGTTGGTGAACTTCCAGGAGCTTGTGGCTCATGGCTGAGGAAGCATTAGCCATTAAATGGATCCAATCCAAGTAGGAAGGCTGGATGGGTAATTGGATGAGAAGACCAGCTGGCTTCTAAAAGTACTGAAAATAAAATTACACAAAAGAACATGAGCTCACTATGTTTATGAAGAGCTAATGGAAATCAGAAGGTAAATTTTTGTGTTTGAGGATGTGGAAGAAGGAACTAAATTTAGAATGACTCTGTACTGGGTCCAACCCTAGGGCCCTCTCATCAACCATATTCTTCCATCACACTTGTACATGCCATTTAGTGGACATTGAAAGTAACTTGGCTTAGAGTATGCCCGTTCCTGAGGTGAAGATTCCCCATCCCAGAGAGATGCTTGACCTGTTGTGTTTTTTTTCTGAAAGACAAGTATTTGTGGTAAGATTCTAATCAGAGTGACTGGACTCTGCCAGACTGGAAATGGATATTCCCACTCAGGTGATGGACTGGGAGCACTGTGGATGTGAATGCTAGGAGGTGGTTATTTCAGTGTCATCAATTATATTATGTGACAGACATTTTTAAGAGCACAAGAAAGGTGACTGTGGCCAAAGATTTAAAGAACTTAGTGGTTGTATCAGAGACTGGTGTATGAAATGTGGGGTGGAAGGAGGTAGTAGTTTTGAATTTGAGACTACACTTTCAGCTGTGTTCTTTAGATATTTATGAGATATATTCTTAAGATATAAATTTAAATAATAATGTTTAAATTGGACAACACTAAAATGGAAATGACACTGAAAGTTCAATACCATACTCAGAAATCCATCAGGGTACTTACGTGGGGTCAATGACCAAGAACCTGTTCCTGTGGGGTCACTGTGGAGAGGCCCTGGGACATTCCTGGTGTCCAGGCACTTCCAGCAAGAAGCAAAAATCTGACATTTGTCTTGTCCTCAGTTCTTTGTGAGTAACAGGAGCAAACTCAGGACAGTCACCTCAGGCTTCAGGAGTCACCAATCTCATTTAAAACTTCCTGGAGATATCCATCCACCGAGGAAGACAAGATACAGAAATCAGAAGCACTGGCTGAAACTATCCTAAATGCAGTCCAAGCAGCAGAGAAACATGCCAGGATTCATTTTTGTATTGTGGCTTTCCAAAACATAATTTTTCTTTAAATCCCAATATCTTATCTGCTGAAATCCAGAGCCTTTCAGAGATGTGTTCTCTGGAATATGTGATAGGAAATGTCTGCAAAGAGACTGATTCCTGCCTCCTCTGCACTTTCAAAATCACCCATTTAGACAGACATGTCTGTAGAACATAAACTCTAAGGGAGAAGATGGGAGAAAATGTGACCATATCACAGTCCCCTTTAGTTCTCACCCACAGGACCATATGACAAGGTGCAAAGATAAGGGGGTGTAGGCAGCTAAGACTCAGGGCTAGAAATCACCCCTTCAGAGTCACAGGTTCCCTCATCTTCCTGTTCCACGAGCAGACATTCTCTCTTATGCATATTGGGTGTGGGTGTCTGTAACCTCCATGTGCCCCTCTGTGTGATTCAGTGTCCAGCAGCTCTTACCAACCTTCCCCTGAGGGCCCATATGTGAGGTGGACACAATAGTAGGCATGGTCCTACCAAGTCAGCAGCACAGAGAACATGTTCTGCGGACACAGTGTGCATGGCCTCACTGCTCACCACATGACCCCATTGTGGGGAGACTGCTGTCAACATGGGGCACTGTCCTTTCTTGGGTACTTTCTGCAAAATTTTCCACAGGCCTCTGTTGACATGTGATCCTGGTTGAGAAATGCTAACTCAAGACTGCTGACAACCAAATGTGAGCTTGGGAGTCTCGAGGACCCTGACTGGCTCAAAGTCAACAGCTACAAGAGACATTCCCAGAGAACTGGGATGTGTGACCTTGAACCACACAGAAGATTGATGTTCATTATTTCAGAGAAACAAGCGGAAAGAGAGGGATGTTTGAAGCATATGGAAGAGAAGAGATGGCATGAAGTACACTATTCTTTAAGATTTGGTCAGTTGGATGATAATAAAACTAAACTAGTGTTAATTTTTTCCCCAGAAAATGCAATGTTTTTATCCAGAGTATGTGATGTTTTCACCATGGTAAATCAAAGAAGTTGCAGTCTCAGGAACCTCCTCTAGTTTGTTTTCCCCACGGATAAGAAGAATTCCAACAGTACTGCACCATGAGAAACTCTAGCTTGTCCTGAAGAACTTGGGATACAGATGGGGCTCATATGTTCAATTTATTGAACTGTTCCCTATGATAGTTCAATGGAGTCTGGAAGATGGAGGTGAATTCCAGAGATTTAGTCAGGCAGTAGTTCCAATCACCATGTCTGTACTAGATGAATCTGCTAGAACAGAATAATACAGTTGCAGGTGCACAGAAGGAACCATTGATGCAGAAAGTGAGTTCCTCTCTGTTCCTCTAAGATAATAGATTCAGGAACAGTGTGCATGCTTGTGGCATGAATAGCAGCATTCATTTACATTTCCCCCCGCCCCAGTGGCATTGACTCTCCTTTCCCTGTCATGACATAGTCATGGTGGTTTGGACCACCTGAACACTCGGGAGAACACCCTAGGACTCTACACTGTCATGGCAGTTGGATCAGATGTGCATAAAGGAGCAGTTCATTTTTTTAAGTTGGAGTCTCACTCTGCCACTCAGGTTGGAGTGCAGTAGCATGCTCACAGTCACTGAAGCCACAGTCTGCTGGGCTCAGGTGATCCCTCCGCCTCAGTCACCAAGTAGCTAGAACTACAGGTGCATGTCTCCATGCCTGACTTAGTTTTTGATTGATTGTAGAGATTAAGTCTTGCTAAGTTGCCCAGGCTGGTCTCGAACCCCTGGGCTCAGGAAATCCTCTCACTTCTGCTTCTTGACTTGCTGGGATAGGTGTAGGGGTAGTTCTTTTGGAAACTTTGGTGAGGCCCATGTACTCCCAAGAGCGAGAAATAGAAAAGTCATCCCTCCATATTGGAATGTTTGGGGTTTAGTATTTTGGTGCTTGCTGGACATCTCCCACAAAATAAAGGACACATTATTATATTCTACAATTCCTGTCAATAAGGAAAGAGCATAAAGTCAATGCCAGCATGATGAGAGCCTCATGTGAATCCTAGTGTCTAGTTGCCCCAATAAATATGAAGAGATAAGACAGGTAAATTTGTCTAAATAATGTTTTATTTAACACAAAATATCATAAACAGGATTTCCTTCACATGTAATCAATAACAATTGTTTATATTTTACAGTTTTTCTTGGCTTTTGCTATTATTTTTTGGAGATTCTTTATTTGGTGTTTTTGTCATTGATAGAGATATGAATCGATATCCTGTTGACAAAGGTGGGCTGTGGTGGTGTTTACCTGACCACTTTGACATGCTCTATTGTGTTTTCTGTAACTGACCTTATGGATATATTTCTTAGGGTTGGTGAAAAGAATAATTCTGTGCAGAACATGGAGTGTGGAGGTGGGCAGTGTCAGTCTGAGGCTCACACCGTGCTTGCATCTGTGGTCACTGTATCAGGTGAGGCTGTTCCTTCTACCCAGGGGTTCCAGCAGGAGTATCTGACTTTCCAACTTCAGGACCCAGAGGGCCCAGCATGTCAGGCTCCTTTTCATTCTAAAGAAATGAAAGCTGGGCAATTGGACATTCACACTGGAAATTTAGGTTAGAATCCGGAGCTCTGGAGCTGGGAGGCTCTTCCAGGTCATTTACAATTGAGGCAGGGCCTTGGGATCTTAGAGTAAGGAAATAACTCACAGTACTTGTTAGTGAGGGCACAGCACTGAGCTGTCAGAGGTTCTCAGCTGAGTTGGTCACCCTAAAGAGGAATCTGGGTGGATATCACAGTGTTCTTTCTACTGATTTTCTCTTTTCAGAGTCACAGGTTGCCACCATAGCAGAGATGAGTAGTTCTGGGGACTGAGGTAGACAGTTGGCCTAGGAGTGGCCCCGTCACCATCATATCATCATTCACGAGGGACAAGATAACTATTGGACTTGCCTCTGTGTGTCCTTCCACTCTGGCCTTCATTCTCTAACTCACACAACAGCCCAAACTCTGCTGATACTTCTGGATCAGCCAGGCAATATTTATGCATGACCCTTGCACTGTAGAGCCTATGTGGAGGGCTGAAGAGAAGGGTAGCCTGGATGTGTCTGTTTTGGGTGAACCGAGCCAGCCCTGCTTATGGGTGTGTCCACAGACCTCCTGGGGCTGGAGGAAAACAGTGACACAAATTAAGAGTTTATGTGTGTCTTCCCCATATGCCCGTGTCACTGTGAGGCTTGTAGCTGTCCCACACCTGACAGTAATAGTCAGCCTCATCCCCAGTCTGGGCTCCACTGATGGTCAGAGTGGCCATGTTCCCTGAGTTGGAGCCGGAGAATCGCTCAGGGATCCCTGAGGGCCGCTTGTTATCTTCATAGATGACCAACACAGGGGCCTGGTCTGGCTTCTGTTGGTACCAGTAAGCATTTTTGTTTCCAATGTTGTTTCCTTCACAGGTGATTCTGGCTGTCTGTTGTGGGGACACGGACACTGAGGGTGGCTGAGTCAGCACATAGGAGGCCACAGAACCTGCAAGGATAGAAAATGGGAGAAAAACATTCTTGAAACTGAGGGGTTCACCACACGAATATCCTTCCCCCTGCCTGGTCGGGACAAGCTCCAAGGATAAAAGGGCCTCAGGGCACCCATGAGTACCAGGCACTGTGGAGGGGGATTTCAGCCCCAACAGACCCTACTGGAGCAAGTTCAGAAGCATCCTGCTCCCCACAGCCAGGACTCTGCTGAGCTCAATGTCAGGGTTAGCAGGGAACTGGGCAATTGAATGGGACCCTGGGACAGCACCTGTGCAGTGAGTCAGGAGGCTGAGGAGGAGAGGGATCCAGACCATGTTGGAAGCTCCCCTGATGCTGCCTTCCAAGGTCCAGGCTGGACAGGTCCTCCCAGGGCTCTCTTATCCCCTGGCTGGAGAAAGCTGTTTGGGATGCAAATCACCCCAACTCAGAGGCTGCTGCTTTGTGGTTACCAGATAAAGGCTCAGCCCCAAGGGACCCAGGGAAGGGTGGTGTCCCTAGGACTCATGAATTAGGTGAGAGCCCTGCCTTTACCCCACCACAGGGAAGGTCATTTGGAGTAGGCTGTCCCAGGAGGGGAATTGATGAAGTAAGACAGCCATTCAGCAGGAACAAGCTCTGGGCTGCCACTGCAAAACTCCCAGGGTCTGGGGACATGAGGGCTTCCATGCTGCAGTCATGGGGTCAGGGATTTGGTTGTCACTTGTGACATTTATTACAGTGACAAACAGAAGAGCATTTTTCAGTGTTTTCAGCCAACTGTAGATAAACATACACACACACACACACACACACACACACACACACACACACACACACACACACGGTTTCCTGGAAAAAAATTTTTTTTTAGTTGGAGTCTCACTCCGTTGTCCAGACTGGAGTGCAGTGGCATGCTCCCAGTCACAGCAGCCTCCACCTGCTGGCCTCTGGCGATCCTTCTGCTTCAGTCTTCCACGTAGCTGGAACTACAGGCATGCGCTACCACGCCCAGCTAATTTTTGATTTGTTGTAGAGATGAGGTCTCACCAAGTTGCCCAGATGGGTCTTGAACCTGCAGGTTCAGGCAATCCACTCACCTCGGCCTCCGAAAGCATAGGATTATAGGCTGAGCCACTGAGCCTGGCCTTGGGAAAGCCTTTGAGGCAAGGATATATCTTACTTTATTACATGTGCCAGCATGGCAAAAGGACAGTACCCAGGCATTTGTCAAATGTTACTGTAGTATCCCTATAGCTGGGGAAGCCATGCTGTGCTGTCTGTGTGTACTGTCCATGCTATCATGCCCTGGATCCCGTGACCTTCTGGATACCACTTCTGCATCCTTCACTGGGTCTAGGAACCTTCTTGCCTCCCCTGAGGGCCAAAGGTGCCCTTCTGATTTCTAAATCCTGACAGGATTCTGCTCACACTCGATGGTGACCTGGGGTCTTGATAATCACTGCAGCTGACTTTCAGGGTCACTCCTGGAAATGAGAGAAAAGGTCCCTTCTTCCATGATGAGACACAGGTGACAATGGGACTCTGGAGGACACCATCCTCACAGTCTAGTCACTCTCTCTGTGTCCCTTCTTGCCTGGATTGTCCTGTTGTTTCCAGCATTGTCTCCACAGGCTGCTGTTGAGGAAAAAGCGTGCAGAGTTGTCAAAAGGGCCTCAGTTATGACCCGTGTCTGCCTTTGCCTTGGGGTGACTTGGGATGGAGGTGCAGATGACACAGTTTTCAACAAGGAGAGTCAAAGGTCTTGGAGTCCTGGAGAGGGACATGGGGCTGTTCCCTTTGAGTCCTTGAGGAGGAAAGGGCAGGAAGAAAGGTCTTGGCCAACATCCCTGTTGTCTGTGTCACTGTGGCTTCATCACACTGACAATCAACTGTGTGGCCCTCTCCACAGTGATACTCAGTCTTGCTCTCAGACCAGATGTTGAAGATGGTCAAGTAGTGGTCAGCTCCAGTGCTGGAGCATGAGAAGTGATCAGGGAACCCTACTCACTTGCAGCTTTCATCACTCTTAACATTCATCAGGTACGATAGGCCTCTCTGGGTGCTGCTGATACCATTCAGTGGGGTAGGTGCTCAGAGTGTAGGTGGGCTTGGCCAAGGCTCCCCACAAGGCTGATGCAGATAATGTATAGGTCAGCAAAGGCAGAGCACAGAAATCTGAAACATAACATTTCATGACTGATGCTAAATGGAGCAGAGAAACGCAAAGATGCCCCAGGATCTGTGGTTACGGGAAAAAGCAGGGATCTTCCCTTTAGTGTCCTGGGATAATCTGACATGTAGAGAAATTGAGAAGCAGGCGATAGAAGGAAATCAAGGCCAATGTGGAGTGTTGGGTTTCCAAGAGCTCTGCCAGAGACCTGGACTTACCAAGCCCCTGTCTTATCCTATACTTGGAACTCAAAAACAGAGGAGCACTGAATGCAAATCTCCATTTATCAGTGTATGTCTGAGCTATTGTCTGAGCCCTGAGGCTGAGTGCTTGGGGCTGGCAATTTTCTTTTCTTTTTTTTTTAAACAATATTTTTAATTATGATGTTGTGGGGTACAGTTAAGGGTTAGGTATACAAATGTACTTCATGTAGGCCCCCTTGTTGATAACAGGTGTCTCCCTGTCCCGAGATGTTTACTACCACTAGTTCCACCCCCCTTCCCCTCCCCCCATAGTTTCTCCCACCACTGTCAGTCATTTTCTTATGGCAACTTTCTAAGTTCAGTAGAAGGATATGGTGGCTGTCAAGCATGGAGAGTGTAATTTAACCAAAAGAAGAAGTCTCAAGAGAAGCATCTGTAAAGTCCATTGCACTTGAGCACTACTAGGCAGCTTGCGGTTATCAGGATTCAAAAACCAAAGCCCACAGTGCCCCCTGCTGCCCACTGGAGGAACGCTATCCCCCAAGTATCATTAGCTCATGCAGATGCAGGGATAAAATGACTACCTACCTCTGAACCTTTCATTCATGTCAGGCCCTTTGAACAGTTTTGTAGACATTTCATCCCAATCATTCATGCATAGTAACCCCACAGCAGCTCTATGCTCAAGGCACAACCTCTCCTCCAGTCTACTGATGAGAGAAACAACAACAGGATCTCCCAGAGTCCCCCCAGACAATAGAGAGTGAAGTCAAGATTCCATCCAGGAGACTCAGCTCAGAGCCTGAACTTCCAACCCCTCCCTGCTCTGCCTCATCCCATGCCCCATCTCCTCTCCTCCCTTCATTACAGACCTCCTGGCCCTTCTTATCACATTCCTCTCTTCTTTAATCATGGGCACTTTTATCCCTGATGTCTATGGTCAGCAATGGTGACCTTTCCTTCCCTCCTTCCTTGACAAGTAACCGTAGAGTGTGTGTTGGTGGTAATACTGGGGACGATCGACTGCCTAGTCATGCTCCTTGTGCCAGAATTCTCTCCTGACAATTTATGGTCAGAGTTTCATTTATGTCAGTTTAAGTCCCTTCAACAAGATACCTGTCAATCTGGATACTGAAGTCTTAATTTACAAGATTGGGGCCAGGTAGGGTGGCTCACACTAATAATGCCTGCATTTAGGGAGTATGAGGAGACAGAATTGCCTGAGTTCAGAAATTCCAGAGCAGCCTAGGCAACATAGCAAAACCTCATCTCTACAAAAATCATAATAAAAATAATAATATTCAGTCCGGCATGGTGGTTCATGCCCATAGTTCCAGCTACTCTGGAGGCTAAGGAGGAAGGATTGCCTGAGCCCAGGAGGGCAAGGATGTGGTGATCCATGAGTGTGTCACTGCACTCCAGCATGCAACAAAGTGAGACACTGAAGATAACCAAAAACAAACAAACAAAAATAACAACACTACATGATTTTCAAGAAAATAATTTTCCTCTAATCACCTTCACAAATATATTGGTTTTCAAACCTAGTACTGGGGATGTGAATAAGCTAACTAACTTACAAGACCTGCTGTATTGTCAATAGCATTGAGATGTGAAGCCCTGTGGACTAATATGCACAGAAAGAAGCCTTCATGCACTGATCCTTGGAGTCTGTTCTAATAAGATGACTGAGTTAAGACAAGGTCACATGCTAATATATTAATATTATTATTATATAACTAATATATTCACTGCTATTCTGGGCTAAGCATGTTACACTAGCCCCTCTACACCCTTTCCATCTGATGCTTTCACACCTCTTCTCACTGGGCTCCTCAGGGTCTCCTTCTGGGGCCCTGCTGGTCACTCGTGCAGGTTGGTTCTGACACCTCTGCTTGTGGGTTCTGACACAACATTGGATATAACTTGTGCAGATCATCCTGGGTGAGGGGAGCGTCCATGATTGTGAGTGAGGACAAAATGCTCCTTTATGAAGAATAGCCATACATCTTTAAAACTGAAGTTACATTCAATGTCTTTGGTGGGGGAGGTGAACCACATTATAAAAATCTCTTTTTTTCTTAGTGACTTCAATGTTCCTACTTCTGTTAGAGAGTGGAGGGGCCGCTTCTCACTAGTGAGGACTCTGTGTCATGGGAATCTCCGTTGCCCAGGTAGCTTTCAGCACACACTGTAGGGGCAGTGACCCAAATGGAACATTCTTTAACATGACCTGCTCTTTCCAATATGTTGGCCATATGTCACAGGTAGTCGCTGAGGTCTTGAAATGTAGGCAGACAAAGTTAATTTGTGCTGTAGAGTTAAGATGCACACCACATGTCAAAAAGTTAGTACAAAAAGAAATAAAACAACTCAATACTTTTTGTATTGATAACACACTGAAAGAGTATTATATAGGATAAACTCTTATATGAAAAAAACATTATGAAAGCCAATTGTACCTGTTTATTTTACCTTTTCAATGTGGCAACTGAAGCATTTTACTCAACATATGTGGTTAAAATTATACTACTAAGCCGGGCTCGGTGGCTCAGCTTGTAATCCCGCACCTTTGGGAGGCTGAGGTGAGTGG